CTTGGGGAGACCTCATCTCTATAATAAATTTAAAAATTAGCTGGGCGTGGTAGCGTGCGCCTGTAGTTCCAGCTACTTGGAAGGCTGAGGCGGAAAGATCACTGGAGCCCAGAAGGTCGAGGCTGTGGTGGCCGTGAGCAGTGCCACTGCACTCCAGCCTGGATGACAGATTGAGACTCTAACTTAAAAAAAAAGAAAACTTCTCATACATACTACTCTGTACCTTGTATTTTAAAATTTTCTACTCACTAGGTGTGGTGGCTCATGCTTGTAATCCCAGCACTTTGGAAGGCTGAGGCGAGAGGACTGCTTGAGCCCAGGGGTTTGAGACCAGCCTGGGCAACCTAGCGAGACCTTATCTCTACAAAAAAATTTTAAAAATTTAGCCAGGCATGGTGGTATGCATTGTTGTCCCAGCTACTGGGGAAGCTGATGCAGTAGGATTGCCTGAGCCCAAGAGGTCGAGGCTGCAGTAAGCCATGATCAGTGCCACCGCACACCAGCCTGGGCAACAGAGTGAGACCCTGATTCAAAAAAATAAAATAAACATTTTGACTTAGCTCTGTTTCTTCATCTTTAAATGAGGTGAAGAACTTGAGTGAACAGGGAGTTCAATTATGACCCCCTCTGCTTGCTGTGTGATCTGGGGCAAGTGTCTAGACCTCTCTGTGCCTGCAGTTCCCCACTGTCAAAAGGGTCAACATCAGAGTGCATCTCATGAGGTTGTTGAATGGTTGATCATGGAAGGTGGAACCCAGCACCTAGAGAACAGTGTCCCGGACCCAGGCTGACTGATAAATGCCAGTTGCCATTGGTAAGACTTTCCTGGGGTTTTTTTTGTTTGTTTGTTTTTGGGGTTTTTTTTGAGTCTCCCAGTCTGGCATGCAGTGACGTGATCACGGCCACCGCAGCCTCAACCTGCTGGGCTCAGGTGATCCTTCCATCTCAGCCTCCCAAGTAGCTAGGGCTATAGGTGTGTGCTATCATTCTCAGCTAGTTTTTTGTTTTTGTTTTTTAATTCATTGTAGAGACAGGGTTTCACCGTGTTGCCCAGGCTGGTCTTGAACCCCTGGGCTCAGGCAGTCCTCTCACCTCGACTTCCTAAAGTGCTGGGATTACAGGCGTGAGCCACCACCCCTCGCTTGAGTTTACTTCTTAAACAGGTGTTTATTGAGCAGCTCCTGGATACCTACTATGTGCTGGACACCATTCCAGGCACTATGGACATAGAAGTGATTCCCTGCCCTTATGGCCCCGACGTTTTGGTAAGGGAGAAGACTCCATAAATATTGTGTCAGGCAGGGGTCACTGCTATGAAATGTGCAGCAAGGGATGAGAGGGAGAGATGCTTTGCCAGATAACATAGTCAGGGAGGGCTTCTTGGAAGGGGTGACATCTAAGCAGAGACCTGAAAGAGGTGAGCAACTTGGGCTTAGGAGGAGAAATCGCACTGGCCTGAGGCAGGGATGTGTCGGCATGTTGAAGAAGCAGTCATGGGGAGCCTGGGGCTGGAACGGGGCCCCTGGGGCCAAGTGGAGGGGGAAAGTGAGATCAGAGTGCCCACAGCTCACAGAGACCTAGAGGGAGGCCATGAAACCTGGAGCTTCTGAGCAGGGGAGGAACACCCTCCACCTTGAGTTTTGACAGGATCCTTCTGCTATCATGGGGACACTGGGACCCAGAGAGGGGCAGCGTCAGCGAGGGTCACCCAGCAGGTGCCCCGTTCTCTGCCAGACCACAGCCTCAGCGGGGCAGGGCTGCCTGGGAGAGCAAAGTGCAGTCCGGGTGTGGCAGCAGCAGTAGCCTGGGCTTCTGGCCAGAGCTGGCCTGGGTGTGGGTGGCAGGTGTGGGTGAGGCCTTAACCCTGCCCTGCATGGAAACAGCGCCTGGGGGCCTGGGGCTTGGGGAGGGCGCACGCAGTCCCCGGGGGCTAGGGCTGTGGGCTTGGGAGCCAGGTGGCCTGGTTGCAAAACCTCACTCTACCCCCGGCTCACCAGCTGTGTGCCCATGGGCAAGTTGGTCAGCCTCTCTGTTCCTCACCTGCAAAATGGGAATGAAATTGTGCCCATCTGGAAGGGCTGTCCTGAGAATGAAGTGAGTGACTCCAGGGACAGGCTCCAGCCCCACTAAGTGCCTGATGGGAGGGAGATGGCACAGTTACATAAATCGGGGTGCCAGGCTCACCCCCAGTGTAGGGACCCTCAGCTGGGTCTGTCCAGGGGCTTTCCCTGCCCTGACTTTCACGGCCTGACGTTCCAGCCCTGTAGAGACAGAACCTTTGTTGGGGTGGTATAATTTATCTCCCCGGAAACCTCTGACCACCAACTTCCTCTTTTCAGGAAAAAGCCCAGTGGGGGCAGGGTGGGACAGAGACCACCACTTCCCCCTCCCGGGTGACCTTGGCCAAGTCACTTCCCCTCTGAGTTCCTGTCTGAGACTGAGTTTCCTCATTGGGGGAGGGGTGGAACCTCCCAAAAGGGCCAGTAGGGGGGTCCCCAGGGGTGTCGCAGCCCAGGTTGTCCCTGAGATGGCTGCTGAGGGTCTTGAATGCTCAGTATGTGAGGGGCATCGTACCACACACTTTAAGAATCCAGGCTCATTCACTCCTCCCCACGGCCCTGGGAGGCGGGCACTGTCATCTTCCCAGTTTACAGGCAAGGAAGATGAGTTCTTGAGTGGGAAGATCGCTTGCCTGAGTCACTGGGAGTGGGTGGTTCGGCAGGGATTTGAACCCAGGTCCATGGATGTCAGATCCTGAACTCTGAACCAGTTGACTGGATGCCTCCCCCTGAGGCTGAGTCAGATGTCACCTGCTCCAGAAAGCCCTCCCTGACTCCTCAGGCCGGAGCAGACGCTCCTTCTGGGTACCCCCAGACCTGGGGCTCCTTGGTCCTGAGGGAGCCCCAGGGTTGTCACTGGGTCTGGGTTGTCACTGTCTGGGAACGGGTCTGTCTCTTCGCTGGACCATGAGCCCGGGAGGGTGGCGCTGGGGCTGTCTGGGTCACTGTTGAGCCTTTGTTCCCCGCCCTACCCGACATGGGCTCCACACAGAGGGGAGTGTCTGCCTCTGTGCCAGTGAGGACCCTGGGGCTGGATGGATGGGCTGGGTCGGCAGTGGGAACTTCTGGGTCAGGGGAAGAGCCAGGGGTCTGGGATGGCCCAACCTGCAGCAAGCTTCACACTTCCCCTCCTTGAGCCTCAGGCTCCTCCTCTCATCTGAGTGCAGTAGGGTGGGGAGAGTGGAGGGGGTAACCAAGCATCCTGGAGAGAGGGAAACTGAGGCCAGGCAGGGTCTGATCCTTAGTGCAGCTCAGGGCTCCTGTGCCCCCTCTGCTGGCTCCACCCTCATCCTTCCAGCCCTCCGTCCCTGATTGGGCTAAGACTCTCTTTACCCTCTGCCCCTTTCTGTGTCCGTCTGTCCTTCCTTTGCCCCTGTCTGTCCATCTCTCTGTCCCCACCCACTCCCCCATCTGTCTGGCTTTCGGTCCGTCTCTCTCCTGCTCTTGAATCTTTTTTTCTTCGTTTTTTTGAGTCGGGGTCTTACTCTGTCACTCAGTCTGGGGTGCAGTGGCACAATCACGGCTCACCGAAGCTTTGACTTCCTGGACTCGCCTGATCCTCCCGCCTCAGCCTTCCGAGTCGCTGGGACTGCCAGCCAGCACCACCACCACGCCTGTTATTTTTATTTATTTCTTTATTTATTTATTTTTAAAGGTGAGGTCTCGCCGTCTTATCCAGGCTGGACTCAAACTTCTGGGCTCAAGCGATCCTCCCTACTCGGCCTCCCAAAGTGCTGGGATTGGCCGGGCACAGTGGCTCAGCCTGTAATCCCAGCACTTTGGGAGACCAAGGTGAGAGAATTACCTGAGCTCAGGGGTTCGAGACCAGCCCGGGCAACTTGGTGAGAGACCTCGTCTCTGCAATAAATCAAAAAATTAGGCGGGCATGGTGGCGCACGCCTGTGGTTCCAGCTACTTGGAAGGCCGAGGCAGAAGGATCGCCTGAGTGCTAGGCTGCGGTGGCCACGAGCATGCCACTGCACTCCAGCCTGGGCGACGGACAGAGTGAAACCCGCTCAAAAAAAAAAAAAAGTACTGGGATTGCAGGCATGAGTCCCTGCGCCCAGCCCCCCCACCTTGTTGATCTGAATCCTTTTCTCCCTCTCTCTCCACGTCTGTCTCTTCCTGTTTCGTTCCCCCATGTCTGCCTCTCTCTCCTGATGTTTTCTCTCCTCATTTCCCTCTCTGTCGGGGTCTCCTCGAGGGTCTGTCTCTCACCCTGTCCCTGTCCTTCCATCTCTGTGTGTCTCCCCTGTCTTCCTCCCACGCTCTTTGTCCCTTCCTGTCCCGCCCAGAAGAGAAAGTAACCAGCACCTCTCCCTCTTCCCCTCTGCTCCCGTAGCGAGACGATTGTCTGTTCCAGCCGGGCCACTGTGATGCTTTACGATGACAGCAACAAGCGATGGCTTCCAGCCGGCACGGGGCCCCAGGCCTTCAGCCGTGTCCAGATCTACCACAACCCCGTGGCCAATTCCTTCCGCGTCGTGGGCCGCAAGTTGCAGCCTGACCAGCAGGTGTGGCCTCCCTCCC